TTTTTACCTTTTAATTGCCATCATCTAATTCTTAGAGTTATTACTTGTCGATGCTTTTGGTTTTGAATCATAATACACGCATCAAGGACAAGGACCTTGTATTGTGTCGTTACAGCATCCCCAAGAATTACCTTACAATCTTTACAAAGTCTTTTATCTGTGTTCCTTACAAAAAAAAATAATAATAATAATATGTGATCTTGAGGCTTCACTTTTATAAGTGATGAAATGTTCATTCCTCTTCTTGAAACAAGTATTATCAATCTTGAAATCATATGTAAAAGAGAAATCAAGAATAGATTGTCCTTCATTATTTAGTTCCCTAAAATCCAAACCACCATACACCCTCGCATAATGACTTGCCTCTCTCCTAACATGTCTATTGAAGTCTCCTTCAATAAAGATCTTTTCATTAAGTGGTATGCTTTGGATCAATCCCTCCAAGTCTTCCCAAAATAATTCCTTAAGACTGGCTTCTGTTCTAGCTTGAGGTGCATAAGCGCTAATAATATTGATACTCTCATGTCCAATAATCAGTTTTAAGAAATAATTTTATCTCCAATTCTATTAACTTCTGCCATGTTCTGCTTTCACTTCTTATCAACAATGATATCTACCTCATTGCGTGTGCTTACTTTTCTAAGATACTAAAGTTTGAAACCTTGAATATTCTTAGCTTGTTTACCAGGCCATTTAGTTTCCTGTAGGCACAAGATATTAATTTTTTTATGAATCATAACTCCTACCACCTCCATAAATTTACCAGTCAAGGTCCCAACATTTCAAGTACTAAATCTGATCTTGCTCACATGGATTAACTTTTTTTAGCCATGCCCGTCTAGAATAACACGGTAGCCCTTGCTAATTTAACATTACATCCGGGTGCCGATGTAACAATTTTAACTCACGTGTCACTGCCATGCAGCACATTACTTATGGGCAACAACCCAGCATCAGTGCAAAAACATCTATTGTCTATATCTATGTGAGATTCAATAAAGTTTTATGTTGGCTATTAAAGGCCTAACACAACCCTCCTTCTTTCCACATTTTTCTTTTCTTTCTTTCTTTCTTTTTTTTGGTTGATGTAATTGCGTATTTCCACATTTTTCTTATTGAATGTATCTTATCTTTGAAATTTAAAGACTAACTGACAACAGGGATATGCACCACCTAATTCAGATAGAAGGGACGGAGTTCTGAGAAGGAAGCGCCTGGAGTATCTTGACTGTGTTTCTCAGTATTATGATATTCCTGACACACAACGTTCGGATGATGAGATTAACATGCTTCGTCAGGTATCCTCCGTTCTAACGAATGCTCATCTTGATGTAATGAAAACAATGTTTATAATTCATGAGTCATAACAGTTGGTGTTGAAAATTTGTTAGATTGCTGTTGATTGTCCAAGAACTGTACCTGAAGTTTCATTCTTCCAGCAACCACAAGTTCAGAAATCATTGGAGCGCATTCTTTATACATGGTTAGATATTTTTGTCACCCTTTTAGTTGGCCTTACGTTGTTCTTGTCCTATTCTTTGATGTGGATAGTTCTGTGAGGGTGGCACTTAGCTTGGCTAAGAAAGTAGTGACAATTTTAGAAAGTGAGACTTCTTACTTTTGGGTATTGTACTCAATCTAATTTCAAATAATTTTCTGATAAGAGTTATTACTCTTGGTCAGCACATGTTTTTACATTGTTGCGTATCCTCTATGATGATTTTAGTAGAGTTTCTCCCTGGGGTATTGTCAAGCTGCAGATAGACATTAGAAGAGACATTGTTTCAGGCTCAATTGTTGAATTGTTTTCAGTCTTTGTTAGCTAGCGGCAAGATGGTGTGATGCGTGAGTGACCTGTGCGTATATATTACACACTTTTATAAGACTTAGTGCATAGTTGCTCTTGTGATCTTTAATTTTCTTTCTTGCATTTTCTTGGGGGTGGGGAGTGTGGGAGATGCTAGAACCAGAGCTAACTTTACCATCTTGAGTGCGTCAAGCAAACATTAATTGAACTGACTGAAGTCTTAATCCATGATAAAGTATTTTGGAGCTCTTAATTTCTTGTTCATTCTTCTTGTTGATTCAGTTTTGTATAAGGAATTTACTTTAACTGTTTTACTTATATGATTTTATGATTTCTTGCCAGGGCCATTCGGCATCCTGCAAGTGGATATGTTCAAGGAATTAATGATCTTGTAACGCCGTTTTTAGTTGTTTTCCTATCAGAATACTTAGAAGGGAGTATAGACAATTGGTCAATGTCTGATTTATCATCAGATAAAATTTCAAATATAGAGGCTGACTGCTATTGGTGCTTGTCAAAGTTGCTTGATGGTATGCAAGACCATTACACATTCGCTCAACCAGGAATTCAGAGGCTTGTTTTTAAGTTGAAGGAATTGGTCAGAAGAATAGACGGTAAACTTTTTTATTAGGGTTCATGCTTTTCTTTAAGCAACATTTAATTGCATGAACTTAAATACAACCCTTTAAGCAACCCTTAAAATTATATTTTTAAAGTTGAGTTGAGGTTGACATCTCTTCTGGTATCCATCAAAAACTTTAAAACGCCACGTGTTGAACAACAACAACAAACAAGCTTTATCCCACTAGGTGGAGTTGTCTACATGGGTTGCACAATGTGCTCTACCAACAGCCAAATTTTTGGATATGTTATTAATCCAAAAGTTTCATTCAACAATTTCATCGAGTGTTTTCTTTGATCTTTTTCTGCTCTTCACAGGACCCAATGCAATTTTTTGAACGTATCCATAATTCAACAGTACTAATTCTACTTACAAGGTTAAGCAGTAGATGACATTTAATACTGACACACTCGTGCTATTCTTGTGTGTCTATTTGATCTGTTTTCATAGATTGAAGAGCATATCTTCCTGGGTACTGAAGGGGCTTGAGATATGATAGATTTTAAAACTGTAGTATGGTGATAGCCCCCTTTATTTTGAAACTGGGTAATGAGACAATTTGTTTGAAATGTTCCAAAAGATGCAATGCTTACCTGACTATCTTATTTGCTTTTACACACAACAACAACAGTGACAAATCTTATCCCACTAAATTGGGTGGGCTATATTGATTGCATGTTATTAATGTGTTCTATTCACAACCAACTTTTCCAATAAACCATTAACCAAAAGGTCTCGAATGATAATTTCCTTGAGTGTCCTTCTTGGTTTCTCTTTGCTTCTCTTTATAGGATTAAAGACTATATGCTCATCCCTACTTAGCAGTGCTTCCGTTGGCCTTCTTTCTACATGACTAAACTATCTTAAACGAATGTTTTTACACACAAGTTTCAACATTTTATCATCACCTTCCATATTATCAATTAATATTAATAAGAAGTGAAATGCCCAACCATTTCATCTCATTATTTTCGTTGGCGTATTATTATTCGTATATCTTAAAATAGAATTTGATGTGCTCAAGTGAAACTGTTGTGCTTCTCCAGAGCCTGTTTCTAGACATGTGGAGGAACAAGGACTGGAATTTCTTCAATTTGCTTTCCGCTGGTTCAATTGTCTTCTTATTCGTGAGGTTTGCTCTAACTGGTGAAATGTTTCTTTCTAATTATGACTGTGGTATCTGAAAAGACATTTGTAAAATGACTTTATTGCAAGTAGCAGGAATTTATTAATCTCTGCGTTGATATTGGTGATAATGGATTATAGTATTGGCACGAGTGTTATTCTTTCTTCAAGTCTAATATGTTATTTATTTAATTAGATACCCTTCCATCTCATCACACGCCTTTGGGACACATATCTTGCTGAAGGAGATGCCTTACCAGATTTCCTTGTGTATATATTTGCCAGTTTTCTTCTGACGGTGAGACATCATTTTTGGGCCTCTGCATTGATATAATCAATTTAAATTATATTTTTTTCTCCTGTAACTATGCTGATGAAACTTTGTAGAAATTATTCTTTAACCCATCAAATGTTAGACTCAGAAAGATGCTTTGTGTAATTGCATTAATTCTGTCAACTACCACTGAGCATTTAGTTTTGGTACATGTTATCTTCAGCTACGCAAAAGTTCACGTGCATTACAAACAACCTAGGGCCGCAATCTTATATGTTATTGCAGATTCTGAAAATCGACTTACATTCATGTATGGCATTCCCCCCCATTGTTTTGGCCTCTGACTATTTTCTAATTGACTATTGCCCTTGTCTATTAAGTCGTACCCCTGTCTGTACTCTTGTATTGGAGTATTGTTTACTCGGATGATTTACGTATTATGTTTCAGCGAATCTTATGTGGTGGACCGTGATTTTTTTTTTTTTAAATTGATTTCTCAGTGGTCAGATAAGCTCCAAAAGCTTGATTTCCAAGAGCTGGTAATGTTCCTTCAACACCTTCCAACTCAAAACTGGTCTCACCAAGAGCTTGAGATGGTGCTCTCTCGCGCCTTCATGTGGCACAGCATGTTCAACAACTCTCCCAGCCATTTAGCTAGCTAAGCAGGCAGTTGTGTTTGTGTTTGGTTTCCTCTGTAATTGTTCGATTACCGTTCAGATTTATCTCAGACAGCCACTTACCAGCGTATGAGCTTTTTATCCCTTGTAATATTTGGTATTGAGCAACATCTCATTGTGTAGATTGACTGCAGTAGAGACAAATATAAACAGTTGGAAGAGAAATGGCATTTTAGCTGCTTCTAATTTAATTTATTGCGATTAGTTGCCATCCGCCATCTCCTTTTAATTTAGATTTAATTAAATTTATTTACCCAAACAATTTATCGCAAATCGAATAATATACGGAGTTTCACTTATTTTTATGGCCGTCTTTATGTTGATTTAATAAAAGATACTAATAGAGATATACAAGGCCACAGACTTATTTGGTAGAATATTTTAACTTTTGAATGTCTGCATTTATAATATTAAAAAATTACCTTTAAACTTTTATAAGTAGGGATACAACATACGAGAATTATTTGTTATTTTCTTACTTCTTTAGATTGCGCGTGCAAAATGTGACCTATACCTTCTTGGAATACAATGACAGAAGTTCATAAATAAAGTGAATTTAAGGGTGAGAAAATAATTCAACTCATTAAAAATCCAGGACAATTCCTAGAAAAACCCGGCATTGTTTTTCTCATGATGATTTGCTCTTAAGCTCCCAGCCGGCATCCAATGGGGTCTTGTGTTAAAGGGGGAAGTAAATGAAGCCGCACCTAACATTCACCACTCCATCAAGAAGTAAGATCATCGCTCACCATCGAAAACTTCCATATAATCGATCTCCCTTTGGCCCGAAGACATGGGCAAATTATAAGTCTAATCTGGAGGAGGAGCAAGAAAGAGAATGAAGGTGCTAATGATGTTAGTGCGTCGCTGCAAGTTACACACACACACAAACACACTCGGTGATGAGAAAGTTAAACATAACTTGAAGGAAAACACAGAAATCAAAAGAGGTCCAGGGAATTAATCCAGTGGGCCGCCGTCAAGAAACACAGGAAAGTTACACATTTTAGACAGCTCAAGTTGCACAAGGCCGAAAATGCAAAGGAATGAAGAGTCCGAGTGTAAAAACACGAATCGGCAGGTTCGTTAGCTCTTTGCGTTCACATTTCACAGTTACAGCGGTATGCACGGTATATAGCTAAGAGATTCAAAACTAAAAGTTGAAGTTCGGAAATTGGCATCGTAGGGATTAAAAAGTCATAAAATACGATCAAAAGCTTACATGCTTGTGCTAGAGTTCATGAATGAATTTATCAGGAGAGTCCACGTAGTCAACGCACTCATCCTTCAAAGTTGCAGCCAGGTGTTGCAGGCCAGCCTTCTCAAGGTTTCTGATCAGAATTGTGAAAGTCAACTTATCCGGGGCACACCCTGATGCCTTCATTAGCCCGTACGTCTCCATTGCCTTTTCCGTCATGCCAACCTGTAAATAAGCTCCAATCATCTCAGTGTACATCCTTGTATCAGGTTTTAATCCATTCTCCATGGCTTGAGAAAACAGCTCCTCCGCCCTGCCAATCAGCTGATTTCTTCCCAGCAACAATATCATGTCGGAGTAGAGGGACAACTCTGTCTCGTATCCTGCTTCCTTGCTAACGAAGTCGAACACCTATATTTTGGCACTTGTCTGGTTAAAACAAGAAAAGCAACAAAATTTGTAAAACAGGATAGAATAGAAATTCCGAGGAATAGTACCTGGAAGCACAAATCCAATTCATTTTGTCTGTGCAGCTCAGAGAAGACGTCCAAGACGTCAACTTTGAGAAGCCTGGAGAGTCTGGATTGGAGAAGGTGTTGAATTTTGGGAGTAGATTTGGCGAGCTTGAGGGAGTGAACCACTTGAATGGCTTCTTTGGACAAAACCCTCGACCTCCACAGACTTTTTCTGGGGCTCCTTCGGAGGCCGCATGTAATGATAACACCAGGGTTTGACCCAACCGAGGGCTTCCCATTGACAATGCTTCGAAAATTGAATACAGTGCGCTGGTAATTCATCAGAGAACCCATCATGGTGACACTATCCGCATTATTTTGGTCCAGATTCAAACGGGAAACATCCCTCGCCAAACTAACTCCTCACCAATCGGCGGTATCAAGTACCAACAGACCACAGGTTTCGCCGCATAAATTTATAATTCATGCAAGGGAAAATATTTAATAATTTGTCAATAGTTTTAACTAAGTTGCAGATCATTCCTGCATTTTTACTCACTACACGATTCGGTATCTGTAATTTTAATAATTTAAAATATTATCCTTATATTTTAGATAATAAAATTATGAATATAAAATTTTAATCTTTTATAATTTTTACAAGGGTTAAAAGTTTTAGTAATTTAAAATATTAATACATAAATTTTAAAATAATTTTAACATTTACAATTTATTTTTTAAAATATAAAGATTGATATTTTAAATAATTAAATCAGAAGGATAGAATTGCATCAAAACTATAAGGATTGAACTTCAACAAATTAAAGTTTAGAAATTGAATTACAACTAAATAAAAACTACAAAGATTAAATGATTAATTTTCTCTTTATATAATTTGATATAAATTATAAATAAATCTATATCTATATGTTAGTTAACAACATTTGATTAAGTATTGTTACCACTTATTTTTCTAATACAAAAAAGTAACAATTTTTTTTTAATTTTATGTAAAGTAAATGAACAAATTACTTTTAAATTTTAAGTAGCACCATAGAACTTAAACTCATTTATTATACAAATTATTTTTTTTAAATTTTGAGAATGATATAATCTAATCCTTATCATTAATAGAAGTTAACTTTTACAATTAGTTGACTAAAAATTACAGAAAAGAACCTCAAAAAATTAAACAAATGACTCAAAAATTACAGACAATAATCGAAAAAATTACATAAAATGACTTTTTTTTGTTCTTTTATGTAATTTTTGATATCATTTTTTGGTTAACTAATGGATAAAGTTAACTTTTATTAATGATAGGGATTAAATTGTACTGTTTTCAAAAGTTAAAAAAATAATTTGCACAACAAATAAGTTTAATATCTATGATGCTATCGTATTTGAAGTTTAGAGAATAATTTGTTCATTTTTCATTTTATATAAATGAGAGTGTAATTTTCAAAGCATGAAAACAAGTGGTGTAATTTGAACATTTTTAAAGGTAGATGGGTTAATTATACACTATACGTCAAGGCAATTAACTAATCAGAACTTAGTGAAGGATCCAAAGACTTCTAGTTGCACCTAACAAATAATCAATGATATGTAGCCTCCATCAGGAGCAAACATTTTAAATAAAGATAGACTTAGATCTAAAGCTAACTGGTGTCCTCCAAAAGTGAGGTGAGTCAGACTCAATGTAGACGATGCTGTTAACTCCTTTAGGGCAATGGCTTGTGCTGGAATCACTCATGATGAGAAAGAAAATTAGATTATGAGATCCGTAAAATATCTTGACTATCACCTTAGTACTGCAGCTAAATTATTAAGCATTTTAAAAGGTCTCCAACTTTATTGAAATGTTAAACTCAAAAATTAATTTACACACTAATTTCATATAAGTCCTTTCACTAATTTGACATAACTTCTCTAATAGTCATCCTCTAGTGACAAACATTAAGAAAAATCAAGGAGCTTATTATGAAAGATTGAATAGTCACATTTTATCACGTCTTCAAAGAAACAAACAAATGCGCTAATTTGCTCACATGTAAAATTCCTCATGACATCTTCAATCTCATTATTTATAATGAACCAGTTATAAAATGCAGAATTATCTTGAATTCTGATATAACTTGACTTTTGTAACCTTGATTTTTACCTGCCTTTATATTTAAAAATAAAAAATAAAAAAGACTTGCAGCCCCCGTAGGCCTCTTAAGCCTTTAAGTCACTCTATTGTCTGTTTGCCAGCCTCGACAGAGGGATTTGTACAGTGTTCAAAACAGATAAATATGCATGCATGGGATGCATACAAACACACACACGTGTAATCTTAACAACACCGCTTCCGTACAACACTTCTAATCTCTTAGAACCAATGAATTAAGGGTGCATTGTCTAGTTATTGGTTTCCCGTGTTCACATAAGGGAATAACGGGAACCAAGAAATGCTGCAGACCTCGGTTGATTTATTCCTCGTCCAGTTCAAGTCCTGGGACATATTCCAGACTAACATCAAATATGACTGGACTGTTCGGAGCCACCCTTGGTCTTCCTGGAGCAGATGTAAGACCTTGTGGGAATGCCAACTACCATCAAACATCAAACAGGAAAGCCAAGAGTTAAAACTTATCCTATTTATCGAACTACAGTTATCATTTACTAAAAGCAGGAAAGTTCATCAGGAGTTTTGGTTCTTTAGCTTCATTGAAAGGGGCAGGAATTCAGAGAAGATGCTGATCCTCTTCCGAATCTCAACCTAATTGTTGAAACAAAGTCAAAATAACTCCACAACGTGCAGGTGATTATTAGACACCTAAACACACACACACACACACACAATATATATGCATATTTCAAGATTTTGGAAAGCTTGTTAAGTTGGGAAAAGTTTGGCGAAGGAGGTAATCTAACATGAAGACAGAAGCTTACTGATCCAGGTATGTACAGCCGGCGTTTTCCTCCTATTTTCATGCCCAAAATTCCTTCATCAAGTCCCTTTATCACCTATTCCGCACATGGGGTTCAAAATCAGTGAAGCTTACAAACAAGCGCTTTAACCACAATACTGATATTTCCATAGCCAAAAAGAAAAGACAATAGTACTATTCTTCAAGTCTGAACAGCCTATACATAAGCAAAGGTTAAATTCTTAAAATTCATCAGCAGAAACGTCCAGAATTTACCTGGCCAGAGCCAACGCGAAATATGTAAGGCTGACCTTTCTCCAATGAACTGTACAATCAAAAAGGAGGAAAAAGAGAAAACATAATGCCCTTTTCTATCTAAGCATAGCAACAAACTTTAAAATATTTCTCAGCATAAGGATATTTAATTGATTGTTATGGATCAAAGGCTTCACAAAGAGCAGGTCTTAAGAACTTGAAAGGCAGCTATTCAAAACCAAAATCGGAGGAAAAGCACCAGTTAAAATCACTAAAGCATTCTGACAGCATTTGCCGTTTGCCAAGTATACATTGATGATTTTATACATGTCACAACTAGATGTACAACATCTAATTAGTTTACCGGAAAACTTCTCAAGCCTACAATGTAACAAATAACGCTGAGGATCTTTTAACTAAAGTACCACACGGGAAGAATGATAGAATTCAGCAATTGATAGGTTTACCTATCAAATATTTGTCCAGATGGAATCATCGCAACATAGTTAGCAGCCACCTGCAGTTTAAGTTACATAAGTAAAATAAATAGGGTGGTCAGAGGCACATGGGAACGAAGGTAACCACTGATATATTGGTGGCAGAAAAATACACCGGATGAGGACATGTTACCGCTCAGACAGCAATGTCGTATTCATCTTAACTTGGGGTTACAAAGAGAAGATAATTTTTATTTTTTGATGAGATGATTTAATACTGAGATAGCAATAGGTATAACGGCAATTCATAACTCTATGGTTGGTCAAACTAGCATAGATGCATAAGGAATTTTGGTTTTTAGTATGAAGGCATATAAGAACATACAGCCAGACTGCAATGGCAGAGAAAATGGCTATCAGGTAGTGTCATTCATTAGTATGCACTGAATTTCTGCCTAGAACGTGAAATTAATAAGGAAAATATCATTCAAAAACCACTAAAGCAATTTAGTATCGGATAAAAACCAAAAGATTCTAAACTATCACTATAGGACTAGGGAACTGATTTGAAAATAAACTTGGATGAGAAAATACTATAATGCTCATGCTTTTCTTTTTCTTTTTTAAAACTTGTCAACTAACAAATGATTTCTTGTTAAATGTGAATGGATACTAGTTAATTAATGAATGATCATTTGTTGAAACATGATCTATACTTGTCCCTTGTCACAACTAAAATTTTTTCAAATTCTTAAACTTGTCAATTAGCGATTGGTTTTTTATTAAATGTGAATGGGTACTTGTTAATTAATGAAGGACTACTTGTGGAAACATGATCTGTATTTCTCTCTTCCCACAACCAAGCTCTTTTAGATTCTTAAACTTGTCAATTAGTGATTGACTTCTTGTTAAATATGAATGGGTATGATGAAAAATAAGAATAATATATTTTGAAGAAACCTAGGCTAGTAGATTATTATTACTTTAGGAAAAAATAGGTTTTCTTGTGTTATTTTAATATATGTTTCCTTTATGTTATTTTAATATTTTTTAAAAGGAAATCTGAAAAGTAGATTTATATAGATGAGTGATTAAGGTTTCCTTAATAGGTAGGCAACTTTTGTTTAAATAGACCAGGCTTTACTCTTGTAAGAAAACACTTGATGAATGAAGTATTTTGATTGAGTGCTCAGACAGCTTCCCCCTCTCTCTTTCATCTGTCTCTCTCTTTCTTCTTCTTTCTCTATCTGCTCTCTCCCTTCTCTGTTTTTGCCTCTAATCTCTGCCTCTCTCTATTTCTATCTCTTCCTACTCTCTCCCTTTGTTTAGATCTATGCAAGTGCGTGTGAGTATGTTTTAAATCAAGGTATTTATTAATTAACGAATGATTACTTGTCAATTAAAAAAGAAAGTTAAGGATATTATAGTTTGTTCTTATTTAAAATTATTTTCAAATCAATCTATTGGTCAAGCAATGATATTTCAGATTCTTTTTATCCTTGATTAATATTAAATACCCTTAGCAGTCCTTAAATGATATTTTCCCTTAATTAATATGTGATATGACCTCTGCCAACGAAAGCAAATCCATCTGGTCCCAAGGTACAAGTTATCAGGTTAAGCATTCATTTTTACAGAATTGGCATCGGGTGATCATTAGCAGTATAGAGAGAAGCATGCAAGAAAGCCTGTAAAAGTCAGATGACTAGTGACTTCAAAACCTGAAATCCAACTGGTGGTGTAGAGCCTTTTCCAACTTTAATATCTTTGTATTGCAAACCTGACTCAGTAGTTATCATAGGCACCTTCATGGCATACAAAGTACAAAACAGCTTTAGTCATTAGCTATAGAAATTAAACAGTTAAAGTCATCCCCCTACCACACTCACTGATGGTCAGAGGTTCTTAAGATTACCTAGCTTACATTTTTACTATGATAAGATTGATTAATAATTTCAGAAAACAACATATTGATTATTTATGGCACGCATATATCAGACACGAAACAACTTGCAGCGGATTTTATATCTAGCAAAGCGCAAAGTTTCTCCATTAACCCAACCAATCAAGTTATGACATCACTTGAAGCTACTGCTGGAAAAGTCCCTGCTAATTTCTATAAGAATTATATGTGTTCTATACTTGAGAAAGATTATGAGTATTGATTGCACACCACACCAGATCATTAATTCATGTAATTCGTGACGATTCTCAACATTCCACAAAGCAGATACTAGGTATAGGTTTCTTACAAATGTTAAGATTGGCGGCCAATAGGATGGAAGGAGCTTAACGGCTGGATACCAGTTTGTCAAACGAGAAGAGAAGGAATAGTCAAATATCTAACCATTTCTTCGGGTGGGCAAATTTAACAGGCCTAATACCTTGTTCACTGTAGTGTTTTCAAGTTCCCAAGATCTTTATCTTTCCTTTCTCCCTTACAAGTTATTTACCTTTGAGAAAGTCGCATCCTTAATATTGAATGCATTCTTAGAAAATGTACAGAAACCGTAGGTGATGCTTTAATAGAGAAAGACAAGCAAACGTAGCAGAAAAGGATACTATGTAATCTCACCATACATTTTCAAGCTCTTTCTCACAGGTATCATCACAGAGCCTTGGCTTTTCCTCTGGGGGCAAACCAGCTCCTTTGGCAGGACATGAAGTCATGAAGAGGCTTGGGGCTCCGAAAGCTAATCCGAGAATGTCTCTCCGTGTAATGTTGTTGAACATAGCGACGCATTCTCTTCCCCTTGTGGACTTGGTTTGAAGATCGAAGCTTGGGTAATGCACAGCCAGACATCGAAGTTTGTCATCAGGAATGACTCGGGGAGCGTACGACAGACTTCTACCGTAAGCAGAACCTACCAACGTGCACGGAATTAGAGATTGAGCTAAATAGGAAGAAGGGAGACGAAGATCCTTGATATGAATTAAGAACATGTGAATGTGACAATATGGGCAACAAGGGAATCAAAGTCACAGGGAACAAAGAAACTGGGCCACTACTTACCAAGTGAAAGAAGCAGAGATGGACAGGAAGCCATGCGCACGCTTCGGTGTGCGGATAACGAAATCTTCAACTTAGAAGAAATATTGGCCCAAAAAAAAAAAACTTAGAAGAAATAAACGATGACTTGGCTTTTCAGCTCAAGACCACTCCAATTTCGTGCATTTGCCATTGCAGGGGCTTCCGTATTACGTCGGAAATTATTTTTTAAAAAAATTACATTGAAATTTAACATAAATAATTAATTATTATAAAATTTATTGATAATAATCTTAATTTAATTATCAATAAATTTTATAATAATTAATTTTTTTATATGAGACGTGAATGTAATTTTCCCTTACCTTTTTACCAGCTAGATTGCGCGACGTGAAGCCAATCAGTATAAGATTCTTGCAACTATTTTCTTTTGTAAGAAAATAGTATAAAAGGATAGTGTAAATTTATGGTAGAACTTCAGGTAAAGAAACATTGCGGTAGTGTTATTGATTAGATTACTTGCATTAATATTGTGACAGGCTATGCTAATAAATTCAGATATCCTTATAACAAAAGATTTTTTTCTATTAAAATAAAATTCAAGTATTATATTAAAACTAGATTTACCCTTGGGGGAACAATCAATCATATAAGAATAATATGAATAACTTGATAAATTTTAGAGAAAATTACAATCATGGAGCGTCTTATTCATAAAAAAATATTAAAAAATTCTGAAATCACTTTACAAGACTAAGAGACTAAAATTTAATTAAAACTTAGCATGAGAAGATAAAATTATCTCTTATTTATTTATTTATAAAAATGGATGAAAATTAAATTTTTGAATCATTACCTATAATTATTGAGTCTTTTACTGTAATATTTTGGTCATTGTTTATAATTTTTGATATTATTTTTCATCATTTTAGGGTTATCTAAAGGTCAGGTTTAATTTTTATGTTAAAATATACTTTTAGTCCTCTAACTTAATATAAGATTTTAATTTTGTCCTTTAATTTTGTAAAGCATATTTTTAGTCATCTAATCCTAACATCGTTAGCTTCAAATGATTATTTTTAATGTTAATTATTATTATTTTAAAAAAATTAAACTTAATATGTTAACATTTGAAAATATTTTATCAATATTTAAAAAATCAATGCAAAAATTTATTAGGATAAAACTAATAGTGTTAGGGTTAAATAACTAAAAAGATATTTTATAATATTAAAGGACTAAAATAAAATATTATATAAGGTTAAAGAATTAAACGTATACTTTAGCTTAATTTTTATTAATGATAAAGGGTTAGATTGTACTATTTTAAAAAGTTAAAGAAAATATTATACTAAAATAAATTTAAGGACTTAGACGCTTCTGAATCTATCATATAGAGATCAATTTATCATTTAACTCAATAATAAAAATATTGTCAAAAGAATCATAGAAACATAAAACGTAAAGAAAAATAGATAAAGACATCATTAATTTTTTCATATTTAAATGATGAAATTATAAAAAATAAAAAAATCATGTTTATTGAAATTTTAGACCACTAAAAGATGCAACATCTCAATTCTTACTTAAAGAATTTAAATAAAGTTTGAAGATGATTTACTAGGTAAATTGGGTTTAAGGTAACTTCATTTATGTTATCATTTAGAGATACAAAGGATTGGGATTTAACGCAATAATTAATATGAAATTGAAAAAAATTATAATCAAGATAAATTGATTCTATTTATATTCTTAAAGCATTAAATTATTATTTAATGAAGAAGAAATAAAAAGTTACATGTAGTAAATATTTTTTAGTATTGGTGGGATGATTTAACAATTATATTATATTTAAAAACAAATATAGAATATAATATATTATATATATAATACAAACAAAATAATAATAATAACAATAATATTGAAGGAGGGGGAGAAACGTGGGCTATGGCCCAACCCATTGGCAATTATAATTGCCATTGGCAGTCTAATGCAAATACACACGTTCACACAATGTGCATTTCATCTTCCTTTCCCTTCATCTTTTTCTTCTTCTTCGTTCTGTAGTGGCGCCGTGCGTGAGTTAGAGAGAGAGAAGTTGAGATATTTTGAAGGCAATTACTTGTCAACATGATCCACACAAACGAAAACAAGGAGTAAATATACTCACTCCTTCGTCTTCTCCCAGCTCCAGCACCACGGAAACAGAGTGATGAGTGACAGGGGAAGAGAGATTTTATATCTTAGCTCCATAATAAGATATTTTGAGAGAGATTTTAAGCTTTGTAAGACCATATAAATATCCTAAAAAATTATTTTAGTCATCTAACTCCTTAACTCCTTTAGTTTCTGATTTTTGTGATGATAAAAATCTAGAGTTTGAAAAAAGAATGAATTTATGAAGAATAAATGTGATTGTTCATATTGTTAGTAGTACAATAAATGTTCTAGAGTATTAATTTATTAATGAAATTTGAATTTGAGATTTATGAGTTAAACCCTAAACTTCTATAGATAGATTTTTGTTAAATTTAAAAAAATAAATTGATTTGTTGATGTTTAAATGATTATTTGGAATGAAAAACATATTATTATAACTATAGAATGATGATTTTAGACTTGACACTAAGTTTGTAATTTTTATGTATTTTTAGGTGTGAATTTATAAAATAAAAAAAATTTGACGATAGAATTTAGTTTATAAATTGATTTTAGCTTGTTAGTATTCATGGATGATTAAAATAAGAGTTAGAAATTTTTTTTGAGAGTATTAACTCTATATGTGTATTAATAATGAGATTAAGAATTATATTATATTTTCTAATTCTATTATTAGAGTTATTGTATTAGTTTCAATAATTGAAACTAATGTTTATAAATAATATATTATTTGTAAATTATGTTGTTGGTAAAGATTGTGGTGAAAGAAAAATTGTAAAAAAAAATTTATTGATACAGCTACGAGGTAACCATGCTTTTAATTTGTAATTAGTGTTGCTTTATATTAATTGGGTGATTATTGAGAAAATTATGAATTGTTATTGAGAAATTATTTTGTTATGTTAATGAAAAAAATTGTGAAATTGTAAATATGCATTTTTAAGTATTTTTATTAAGTGAGATGTCATGTTGTAATATTGTTGAAAATGAAAAAATTTTAAAAATTGTAATATTATATAATTGTACAATATTGATATGAATTTTGTTTAATTATTATGGGAGGTGTTGGGAGACTTACTGTTGTTAGTGTATTTATGTGCCACGTGATACGTCATTATCAGAGGTTTAATAGGTGGCTTGTAAGGGCTCAAGTTAATCTACCTTTAGTTGGGTAATTTAGTATTGAGTGAGAACTATAGTTCAAGGTCAATGAAAGGAGATAAGGATGGTTGTTGTTCATACATTACAATATTTCTGATATTTTTATTGGAATTATATGAATTGTTATTTCCCTACTTAGCAAGTACACATTTAATTGTTTGTATCTATTATCATAAATTAGCATTGGTTATTGATACTTTTGAGTCTCATTATGTGATTAACAATTTTTAGAAGAAGAGCCAAGTGTGAGGCATTTGGAGAAGTCCCGAAGGCTTAGTGATATGGAACCACTTCCTCTCTCTAGGTTTGAATTTATTATTTTTATAATGCATTATTGTCAATGTTAAGGCTTTTATTATTTATTGAACATATGAATTCATGGTTACGATCATGCCTCTTTAAATGATTTATGCACGTTATGTGTTTTAGGATAATTGTAAATATGCATTATTGAGAAATATTTTTATATTTATTGAGAAATTGATAATACTTGATAATGTTAGATGTTTTGAAAAAGACATGATGATTGGGCCATGGGTTTTAGCTTGTTTGTTGAGTTCGACCAATTAATCTATCTATGGTTGTTGGCTTTGGTTTGTAAGTGTATGGATCATAAGAGTGGGAAAATGATATTTTGGCCTAAATGACATGTGAAAAGATAATTTTATAATGATATTGTGTTGCATAAATCAAAGCAAATGCTAGAAGAACTTACGTTGATTTTTTTTATATAAATTATGTTGGATGGTTGTAACCCAACTATGATTGTAAATGTGTATGAGTAGTAATAAAAAAACGTCTTGTGTTATTTGGAAGGATTATAAGATTTTGAAATGTGTAACTATTTTTATTTTTTTATTATATTTTGTTTATCATGTTTTCAATTTTAAATAGGATCATGTCGGCCTTTCACACTTATTTTTATTTTATAAATGTTTGGGATCTCAAATTTTAGACATGACAATTTAAGGAGTTTAATTCTATTTAATATTTATCATGATGGTACTTATTTATCTAGCTTACTTCTTTATACCATGGTAGAACCTTTTAGATCATAGTAGTCATTTTAAAACATAGAATTTTTTATAAAACTATCTTTTATCTTTTTCTACCATGGTGGTCCCTTTTCTACCGTAGTAGTGTTTCAAATTACAGAATTATTTAAAAAATGATTAGTTGACTAATGTTTACCATGGTAGACACTTTTCTATCATAGTTGAATTAATTGTTTTGAAAAAAAAATTAAAGTATTACAAAAGAAGTACTCAAAAAAGAAAATTTATATACCTCCTTAATTTATTTTGCAGACTATTATTTTCAAATAGAATTGAAGGAAGAAGCATAGGCATAAAAGGAGGGGAAAGCACAAAAATGAAGAACATAGGAAAATGATAAGGGGTTGCTTAAATGATATAAGACCAATATTATGTTTGGGAAGTATTGAAGGAGCTAATGTTGAAAATTTACTGTACAAAGAACAGTGAAAAGTACAATGAAAAAAGAGTTAAAAGTTAAAAATGTCCTTGAAGTATACATGAAGGGTCACAGATGACTTTAAACTCAATTATGGGTCATTTATATTCCTCAGTTTTAAAGAAACATTGCTCCATTATCCTGACGTTTAGTCAATCTAATGGCGCTACCTTTATGCTGATGTGTACGCGTTTGGTTGACCAGCCATGTGCATGTGAACAAGCTAAGAAAGACATGTGAACATGACTGGGTAGAAGGAAAGAAAAGAGTGACAAAATTATGGGCATGACAATTAGAGAAATGAAATGGGAAAGCATTATCAAGCGTGAAGGGAAAAAAACCCTAATCCCTCTAGTCTA